GGGGGGGGGGGGGGGGGGGGGGGGGGTGTCTTTCCCCCAGTAGGTAGTACTGCAGGAGTTGGGGCCACAAGTCCTCTAATAATCTGGGCAACCTTGTCAGCCTCTGGGAGGTTGTTCTGTGAGAACCCGCTGAAGAAGCTGCGAATAGTGTCCCAGTTCCTGTGTACCAGAACAGGGGGTTCCTTGGCCCTGGTGCCATCGGATGAGACTTGCAACTGACACCACCGGTCCTGAGGATCTGCACTCATACTCCTTCACGAACACCTTGTTCCAGAAGAAGGGATGGTTCCAAAACTTGAAACTGCAGCGCGTCCTGGCATGCCTGAGCTCCCTCACCTCCAAATTCACCAAGTACCAGGGCACGTCTTCATCACGAGGACTGATCATGTCTGACAGATGCGGGTGGTTCAGAAAGGCAGTGACCCAGAAGCCAGAAATATTCTGGATGATGAAGCGCCTACGTACCAAGTGCAGACGGCGCATGCGTCCAAACCTGCGCTCCAGCCGCAGGTAGGGCCAGTCCGCCTGGGCACTCACAGCCTCCAGCTCCCACTGGATGGCCTCCGGCAGGTCCGCGGCTGGGCGTTCCAGGTTTATGGGCCCCGCTGCACCGCCACTCCCACCTCCGGGTCCTCCTCCCCCACCAGCCCCTCCGCTCCTCCGCCCCTTCCAGGAAGATGGCGCCCTGCCCAGGCGTCACTTCCTCGGCCTTCCCGCCGCCTCTCGACCGCGACCCCGCCCCCCAACCTCGGAGCGGCGGGTCCCAGGGGCCTCGGTCCGACTAGGCCCGGTGACAGGCGGGGCGGTCCCGGGGGCGGGGGCGGGGCGCCCGCGTGCAGCGGCTTCGCTGACCCAGCGGCGAGGTCGGGCGACGGGCGCGTGGCGGTTCTAGGCCCCCCCCCGTCTCGTCCGCCATCACCTGAGGTAGCCTCTCGCCTGGAGGGGCTCGGGGTGCGTGGACGACACCGCGGGTCCCGCCGGAGGGGCGGTACGGCGGCTACGGGACCATGGCGGGAGGTGGGAAGGAGCGGTCTCCTCCTCGGGGCGCGCTCCGCTCCTCGCGCCCTCCTTCGGGGTGTGATTCGCAGAGGTCCCCCTAGCTGCGAGGGACGAGGGTCTTGCCGGCCTGGCTGAGTGGCACGGGGCTGCCTGAAGGGGATGCAACCGCAAGCGCCGGACGGAACTGGCCCCAACATTAGTAGGACAATGGCGATAAAGATGGGGTGAATTGCAGGGGTGTACCAAGCAAGGAATAGTTCCGAGTGGGCACCAAGGATCAGGCACAACTCCGGTCCCGGACACACAGAACTTTCCATCACAGTGACCACGCCGGGCGATTACTCTTCCCGGCGGTGGACACTGGCGGCCACCGGGCACCCACACTCGACTGTGGTTTGGGGCAGCTGTAGACTTGCAGCTTTGCACAGGGTAAATTATTCAAGCATATGCAGAAAAGACTATGCAGACTCAAACTGGAAGCCGCAGATGATGGTAATTACCTGGCACGTGGAGGTGCCGGAAGTACTTCTATAGAGAAAGGAAGAAACAAACTTGGGAGTACGAGGATCTGGGGCAAGGGAAGGTCTCAAACGCTGGCAACGGGGAGCATATTGGCATCTGTATGTACAAACTATCTTCCTGGGCTTGTAGACTGAAAGATGGACATTGTTCCACCTTGCCCAATGCCCAGAGGCTGCCTCTTGCTCTATACCAGACATTTCACAAAAGTGAACCTGTCTGAAATGCAGGGAATGTGCTTGGATAGGATAAGAGCCTGGATGGACCAGCCTTGCAGCCCTGATCCTGCAAATGCATCTGCACTCCTGTGGTCTTGGCTCCCAAACTTGTGGCTTATGGAGGTCAACACACCTAATTCCCCCTATGCCCGGAAGTCCCTGCTACCTCCTCCAGAAAGCTTTCAGTCTCCTCCCGCCCGATGAATAGGGTGGCGCTGAGCCCCCAGACCCATCCTGGGGTATACACTCCCTAGAGAGCAAGGTGTATTCCCTTGGGGCTCTAGCCAGGGATCTGACCCATTGGGGTGGACATTCAATCTTTGTCAAGTAAATGGAAGGCCAAAGAAATGAAGGGCTAGCCCACTGCCTTTGTGCACAAAACACCCGTAACACACATTAACAGTTGTTAACGTCCCATGGACTCTTGGGCTGGACTCAGGACTGTGTGGCTGTGGACAGTGGCTCCAGACCACAGAATAGTTACTCAATCTGAGCCCTGGATAGGAGCATCTCAGTACGAGTTGCAGGGCCTATGATGATGAGGACTACCTTCGTTAGACTGGCAAAACAGCAAGGTCAGAAGCCACGTCAGCCTTTCAACAGTTTGTCTGAACCCAGTGAGTAGGTACAAGTGTGACAAGGTCAGGTCCTAGCTCTGTCACTTGCCAGCTGTGCACCTCGGGCAATGGATGACATCTTTTCTCGGACAACCAGTATCCATTCTTCATCCTAACAGAAGCCCCAGTTTCCTTTGAGAAACCACTCCTATCTCAGCCTTGCAATTGCTGGCTGGCTTGGGGGAGAGCACAGAGCCCTTTCAAGGCCAGTGAGACAGGAGATGCCTGGGAGGTGGGGGGCACTTCTGTGAATACAAGGACTCCTCTCTCCTTTCTCTTCCTGGTCAGCACTGAGAATGACGGATATGGAGTCATGGCAGCAATTTACTCCTACACCAAGGGATGAGCCACTTTGTAGGGCCTGAGGATGAAGTCCCGACTACACAAGAGGGTGGAGAGAAATAGGAATGACCAACCATGTTTGAGTTGCTGGATCCATCCTAAAGACTGTGCTACATCTGTCATTTTTAGTTACATGAAATTTTCGTGAGGCCAATGAGAGTTTCTTCTTGCATCCAAGTTTAAGTGATAGCATGATGCCACTTAGCTCAAGATCTTTCATTTCAAAGTATAAAGTCTGTAGGTGCTAATGTGAAGGCTTGCTACTGTCTGCCCTACACTCACCATCCCCTGGGATGCTAAAGATGTCTGTTGTTTCCAGTTCTTCCCCAGGCACTCTCCAACCCTTTCCCAATCAGACAGGTTCACAACTTCCAAACGCATCATTCAGAAGTTTTTAATAAACAACTTCATTATAAAAACTTTTTTTGAAAATGTAATTCTGTAAAACATTGAAAAATCTACTTTAACAAAGATACGCCCTGTGCATTTTCTAATGGCACTTATATTTTACAATTAAAAACCTTGTTTTATATAAAGCCAAAAATACTCCAAGAGGTTATTCACTGTGTTTACAAAGTGCTAGAAGGTTTTTGTCTTGTATTTTTCTCTTTAAATAATCTGGCATTACGAAAGAGTGGCCCCAAAGCCTTGATCACCAGGAGGGAGGGAGGCAAATGAGAAGTGGTGTCTCAGGAGTTCTAGTGCCAAATATTTAGAGGTGGAGAGGGGCAGCTATGGAAGTGAGCTTGCATCTGAAGAAACTGGGCTGGGATACTTCTTCCAGACCCCACCACAGAAGCACTAAATTATCACGGTGAATCCTTCTCCTGTTAGAACCGGGACACCCCTTCCCTTGCCACAGACCCCCCTCTCCAGTGGTGAAGGTCATAGCCAATTCCTTCCACAGCAGGTTCAGAGCTCCAGGAGAGGCCAGGGTGAGGTCCCAGAGGAATCTGGACTTTTCTGGCCAACACCTGCCTAAGGCAAAGTTTCTTATTACATAAATATCCTTGTTAAAAAGCAAAATATTGATCCTGTACAATATAAACTGTTAAAAAAAATCGTGCTTAAAGACAGCTCCTAGATAAGAGGGAAGGTAGAGGGAATGGGGAAAACAGCTACCAAAAAGAAAGGGGGTGGGGGGCAAGGATTCAGACTACTAGGAGAAGTTTAGGGCAGTGGAAAAATTTCAACTTAGGACAATATCTACGAGCAAAAAAGTAATCACACCTGCTTCCCGGATTTCCATTAAATGCCATTTGTATAAGGTTGGGGGGAAACTCATTGGTGCTCCTTTTCCCACCTCTTCCCTCTTTAAAAGATGTGCACAGATCCTGAGCTGACACAGCTGGGTAGGTCATCCCCTGGCCCCCAGGACCACACTCAACCTTCACCAGCTGTGTGCAGGATGCGAGGTGCCTGCCCCCTGTTCAAGGCAACTCATCGCTGACAGAGGTTGGAGGTGGTGGGGAAAGGGGTCATTACCCCTTTTTCCTGGTCCCTGTTTGGTCTCTGCCACATGCCATGGCTCCTGTTGTGGGCAGACACCCCTCAGGCTCTCATGGCCTCAGTAAAGGTACTGAAGTGGGTTTGGTACTGAACGTAGGATAAAGCTATTCTTATCCTTTGAACAACCAGGCCAAGAAGGCTTTTTTTTTTTTTTTTTTTAAATTTTGGGAAGGGAAGTTTAAGAAACAGCTGGGTGGCTATGGTCCAAAAAAAGGTGAAGGCAGATGTTCCTCTGTACCAGCAAAGTTCACAGTGATAGGGAAATTCCTTGTGTGGGGTGAGAGTACTGACGGAAGAGTAAAGGAGAAACAGGATGGAAGGAGAGGGGAGAAGGGGCAAGGCCCCACTTACAAGGCTTTAAATAGTTGCTCTGCCTGTTCTAGGAGTTTCCCAGCATCACTAATGGGGGAGAGAATTCAAGGAAGGGACAGGAAAGGACAGGCAGGGAAGAGTGGACTCTTTAAGCCTGAGATTTTATACTCCATGGCCAGAGGCCCACTTGCCTCTATAAATGAGGTGTGCACGGAAGGTGGCAGGGAGCGGATGAAGGGTTGCTGGGTCTAGTGATGAAGACCAGAGACAATAAGGAGAATGGCAGCACTGAGTCCTGCTTGGATCCTCACGTACCATTTCCTATAATACGAGTCCCAATAACATGCACAGCATGCAGGAGGTGGCTGCGTACCAAGGTGGACGCTTTTAAAAATAAACCTTAATTAGTCCCTGGGACTCACTGAAACGAATTTTTAGAAGCAAATCACCTAGTCTGATCCTAACCTTGCCAGACATTTTTATATCTGGTTTGTTTTTTCAAAAGTATCCCAAGCTACCCTGCCTAAATCAAAACATGCTTATTCACTCCACATTGCTTCCAATCGAGGGCCAGGGAGCTACATTTTAAGGCTTGCACCTCAAAGAGTACTGGCCTGGGCTGAAGCAAAAGCCTGGGTCTTGGACCTGCTCAGTTCCTGATGATAAAGCAAAGTGATGTCTAGAAGGAAAGAGGGGGTGTGAGGACTGGGCGGAGGCTGAGGCAGTTCCTTGGTAGTTTGTCCTGAAACCCTAGTGGAAAAGCCAGCATGAGGCACCGCTGAGAAAAGTGCCCAGAAACTACTGGCTGCATGTGTAGAAGTTAACAGTAAAGAGGTAGAAGTGTGTTTCTGAATCAGACTGGAGGTGTCTCATGAGGGTCCCACATTGGTGGTCCCTGAGCTGCCTCCCTTCTGTGAGTGGTGAGAGTAAAGCCCGTGCGGAACTGAGAAATGAAGCAGGGATGGGGTTCGGCTGGGCAAGGGCTGTGCTTTCTGTGGCAGGGAGCCCCACAAGCCAGAAGAGTCATCTGTTGCGAGAAACCCTGCTAAGTACTGGGGGCAAATTGAGGGGGGGGCCACAAGAGGAAGGTGGGATTACTTTGATGGGGAGCAGAGAGGCCTATGCACAGTGGCCCTGAGTCCACTGTAACTGCAAAGTAGAGGAGTGGGGAGACTGTGGATAAGAACAAAGGTTGGTATGGGAGCCAATGACGTACCCACAGGTTAGGACTCAACTATCTGCCCAGCCCTAACTTCCTGAAGACTGTTCTTGCAACAATTCCACAACTTCCTGGAAAAGGGACAAGCAGGAGACACACATCAGGGGTTCACACCCTCTCCTTTGATAGCCAACCAGGTTAGAACCCGAGTCCCTCCTTCCAAGACTAAGGATAACAGCTCATGTTTGGGGTGGGGGCTGGGGAATGGGGGCGATAGAAGCGGGCATGCCTTTCATTTCTTGCCCTCTCCTGTTCAAGAGGAGGAGGAGGGCTCATGATGTACTTGGAGAAAAACAGAATTGCAGACCTGTGAGAAACCTGCTCCAATCTTCTTGCCTGTCTCGCAGACACTGCCGAGGAAGGCAGGAACAGACAGTCATGGAAGATGGCAGAGACTGAAGCAGTCCAAAGTCAGTTTATTTCCCCACAGGGGAAAAATGTGACCTCAAGTGAAGAGAAGTCAGTGAGACCCGACTCCGCCTTGTAAACAGGGCTCCAGTTAACACCGGGTACCAAATGGTTCCGGCTGGTGCCAACTGGACTGGACTGGTGGGAATGAATTCACGGCGTGTAAACAATGTTCACTGCAATCATTCTAAGGCTAACAGCTTGGCAAGGGAGGTGAAATGGTGTGTCTGAGGCGACTGTGTAAACGGTACCGTTGCTGGACAACACTGACTGGAAATGGAGGTGCTGCTACAGGAGGGACGGGGCTGGTGGGCAGGACAGAGGCCCTCTCTCCTGCCTATTGGTGGGAAGCAGGCGACGGAGCCAAGTGACCCTTTGCAGCAGGGCCTGACCAACTGCCGTGGGGTCTGCAGGTTGGGACCAGAAGGCGGGCTTCTTGGGCTATTTCTCTCGAGGTCATCCAAAGTGAAACCCTTTGTGTCTCCAAGAGGCCTCCCCCTTCTCCAAAGAGGAGGAGGTTCTGACACTTTGGAGAGGGAGAGGGCGAAGTGTGGCTCCCGATTCAGATCAAAAAAAGTAAAAGTAAAAATACCTGAAGTTCTATGGTATGAGATCTTTTCATGGGGTTGGGGCTCAAGGCTCCTCCCAGAACTGATCCTGGAGCTTGAGCCCCCAAACCAAGTGCTCCATACAGATACTGGAATTTTTTTCTTTTTGAACCCAGCTCTGAAAGCTCAGCTGCCTTCATGGGAGATGCAGATGGGGTGGGTACAGAGGCTCCCTGACAGAGCCTAAGACTGGGCCGAGGGCCTCCCTGGGGGCTACTGGAATGCCTGGTGGAAACGAGGCAGGGTGGTGGTGCTCAGGCCAGAGGTGAAGACAGGAGGCAAGGAGTGCAGAGGTCCAAAGTTCAGTGGTCCACCAGCTCCCGGGGAATCTTGAGGCTGAGCCTGCAAAGTGGTGAGTAAGGGCTGTGCCTCGGCCTGGGAGTAGCCCATGACCAGGCCTCCGGTGGCCCCGGGTGGGTTACACGGGGGTAGGTTGAGTGGAAGAAAGCCCAGTAAGTGGGAGAAGTCCACATTAGCAGCGCAGAGGGCCTCAGAGAGGTTGGCGGGGCTCTTGGTGAGCAGTGCTTCATCTAGGAGGGCCGCAGCTGCCGCCGGCTGAGGTGAGGCGGGCTGGGGTTCAGCGGACGAGAGAGACAGGCTTCCAGGAAGCTCCGCCAGAAAACTATCCACCTCCACTTTGGGCAATTTGTCGGGCAAGTATGAGGTAGATCCAAGCTGGTATTTTGGAGGAAGCTGAGCTGGGGAAGAGATAGGTGAGGATTCCAGGGGGTAGCTCATACCCATGGGCAGCGTGTTGTGCACCAGGGAGTGTGGCATGCCCGTGCTGGGCATGGTAGGGATGTGGGCGCCATACATGCCCATGGGCAACATGCCAGGGAAGGCCTTGGCCCCCATCACGTCCCGAGAGGCCATGCATAGCACAGGGCTCAGCTCTTCCTTCACACTGACTGTGGAGCTGCAGCTGAGGAGGCCTAACATGTCCACTGGCTCTGTCTTGATTTTGAGCAACTCCTGCGAGTGGCTCTTCTTGACATGACGTGTCAGGTGGTCCTTGCGGCCAAACCGCTGGGCACAGTACTGGCACAGGAAGTCCTTCCGGCCTGTGTGCACCACCAGGTGCCGCCGCACATCCTTACGAGTATAGAACCGCCGGTCACAGTGGTCACAGGGGTGCTTCTTCTCTTTGGCACCACCTGCTACTCGGCGTGAGTGGGCCTTCAGGTGCTCTAGCAGGGCCTGGGTACTCTCAAAGGTCTGCAGGCACACCTTGCAGCTGAGGTCACCGCTGCTGGCGGCATGCATAGCCAGGTGGCGCCGGTAGCCTAGCTTCGTATTGTAATTCTTACCGCACTCAGAACAGTGAAGGGCCTCTTTGTTGGGGTCATGGGTCTGCAGGTGGTTCCGCAGATGGTCCTTGCGGTGAAACATCTTATCACAGTACATACACTGGTGGGGTTTCTGGGCTGAGTGGGTGGCCATGTGCCTGGGGGTAGGGATGGAGGATAGAGGAGAAACAAAGGAGATCACAAGGGCTGGCCAGACAACTGAGGTGTCCATTAACAGGGAAGTAAATACAAAAATTATGGTAGAGACACGCAATGGAATACTATGCCAACTATATTCCATAGATATCCTCACCCACCTGCAAAATCACATATGTACTCCTAGTCTTTGCAGCACTGTTTGTAGTAGTAAAAAATCAGCAACAATCTAAACGTCCATCAATAAGGAATCGGTGAAATAAATTATAAGTTCAAAAAATGACTCAAATAAAAAAAAAAAAGGCAGCTTTATATGTACCCACGGGGAACAAACTCCTAGGATACAATGAAGTGGTAAAAAGCAGTGGGACAGGACAGTGCATGCAGAATGGTACTACGCATAAGAAAAGAGGGAAAACAGATGTATGTTTGCTTGTATGTGCTTAAAAATATTTCTGGAGGGGGGCGCCTGGGTGGCGCAGTCGGTTAAGCGTCCGACTTCAGCCAGGTCACGATCTCGCGGTCCGTGAGTTCGAGCCCCGCGTCGGGCTCTGGGCTGATGGCTCAGAGCCTGGAGCCTGTTTCCGATTCTGTGTCTCCCTCTCTCTCTGACCCTCCCCCGTTCATGCTCTGTCTCTCTCTGTCCCAAAAATAAATAAACGTTGAAAAAAAAAAAAATTAAAAAAAAAAAATTTCTGGAGGGATATATAAGAAACTAACACTGGTTCCTTATGGGGAAAAGAGATAGGGAAGCTTATGGGTTTGATGGAGAATTTCCATTTATACCTTTTGACACCTTGTGAATTTTATGTGAATGTATTTCCTTTTCAAAAAATTATATTTAAAAAATTTTAAATGACACCGTAAAAGAAAATTGAAAAGAAAAAATCTAAACTTCTCTATGTGGAACAATCCCAAAACATAATGACGGGTTAAATCAAAACGGGAAGTTCAGTTTGGTGTGTGTAATCTAATCCCTTGTGAAAATAAAAAGGGAAGGGAATACATATTTCAATGTCTTAGCATGGATACACAAGAAACTGACCCCATTGGATACCTCTGGGGAGAATGGTAGCTTCCAGCATAAGGACAATGCATTTTTCACTGAATGCTCATTTGTACCATTTAAAGTGTTTGCCGTGTAAACCAGCAACATTTAAAAAAGTGTTCCCATGGTATAGTACCTCAGTGTTCCTTGGTTTACCTGCTCCCATCTGGAGGGACAGGAGCTCAGAGTGCAGGAGTTACAATCCAGAGCTCTACGGGACTTTCAGAATCAGTAAGACTTCGAGGACCCACCATCTGCCAGGCCCTGTGTGAGTTGTCATTAACCTTGTTCTCCACAAGAGGCCGAAGCACAGGACAGCCCCACCCACGTCAGTAAGTGGCAGAAACTGAATTTGAACACAGTCCTTGAAACCTGGGTTCACTCAGGTATACCACAGCTGTCTCTAGTATAGCACCCAGTGATCCTTCCTACCTGGAAGGTATCGAACGTAGCCATTACCCTCAGGCTACGTGTGAGTGCTCACACCACCGAGAGCTACTATTAACCTCCTGTGACATATCAGACATGGTAATGTACGAGAGGGAGGTGCTGATGGACCCACAGTCCATTTTCCTCATTTTACAAGCGAGGAAACGAAGGCACTAAGAGGTTTAGTGACTCGCCTAAGCTCACGCAGTGACTAAGGTTGGAGTCAGAGCTCCTGCCTCCCAGACCCTATAGGACCTTTCCTGTAGCTTCTCGCAGACACCCAGACTGTCACTAAGGAAGTCTAAGAGGATGGCCCCAACTGGAGTCCACCTCAGACACAGGAGCACACAGTTATCAAAGCATTCCTGAGGACCACAGAACTGTCATGAGGGCAATCCTGGTCACGCTGCCCTATTACCTGCTTTAGTTCCTTCCTATCAACTGTTTTCCAGACAAGAACTGAGGCTTTCTTTGGTCATCTTGTTCATGCATTTACTTGTCTGCGGTCTGTCCCCACTATTAAGATAGACTCAAGGAGCACCCCCATCTGGCTCACTACTCTGTCCAGGGCACTTAACACCATGTGTGGTATGCAGCAGGAGCTCAATAAATTATAGTTGGCTAGATGAGTGGATGAAGCAGTGTGCATCAGGCAGTCTATCTCATTTGTAAAGGGCATATTCCTGTTCCTCTGATGGAAAGGCAAGGATAAAGTCAAAATCACTTTGGGGCAGGCGCCCCTCCCTTCCAAGCTGCTCTGCCATATCTACTTTATACTAGCACTTTCACATTCTATTTCACTTTATGTAGGGCTCTTGGGCTTAAAGTTTCAGGAAAGCTGCTGACCGAGAGGACACCAGAGATTCCACAGAGACGGAAGTAATCATGTGAGTAGCAGGCTGGTTCAGAAGAGGCACTGCAGGACCAAACATGCTATGGGACTTTGGGTAAGTTACTACCCCACTCTGAGCCTCCACTTTAAAATTTACAGATGGGACCAGAGGGTCTCCTTTTCCTTCTCAAGTTAAGACTGATTTCTAATTTCTGGCTAACATTACCTGGCATTACCTGGCAAAGGTGGGGAGAGTAGTATTGAAAACATCGTTTAATCTAGTTTGTTCATGACGGTCTGATATTTCCCCATCAGAGTCTAGTGTCTGAATACAAATACCACCAGTAGCTTTTAGTGAGGGATTTCAAATTGTTGGTGTTCAGGGTACACTTATGGGCCAATAAACGTCTACTCTTCTGTCACAATAAAGCCTCCCACTCAGTGGAGTCTTTCTGGCTTTGTCCTCTGGGAACCTCAGGGCAGGAAGAGGTATGGGAGCGTCACCTACCTATACAGCTTGTACTTGGAGGCAAAAGCCTTGCCACAGTGCAGCTGAGGGCAGCTATACGGTCTCTGCTCTGGATGGGGGAGGCTGTGAGGCCTCAGCTTCTCCCCATTTGAGAAGGGCGTCCCCGAGATTTCGCATTGGCACTTCACTTGACTCTCCGCCTCCCGGCCCCGAGGCCTGGGAACTAGTTTCCAGCCCACTTCCTCCTCCTGCTTTGCATCTTGAATCCAGGGGGGGACGCTGGTGAAAAATGTGGTCATGGCAAGACTAATGGCGAAGGGCCATGTTATTCAGAAAGCCTCCCCATCAGCTCCACACGGGCTCTCTGCTCTGTCACAGCCTCCAACGCAGCAGCCTTCAGAAAACAATCTCTTCACCTGAAACATCAGAACACCTGGTGTTAGGGAGCCCAATACCATGAAAACATGGGCTCTGGAGGCAGACAGATCCTGTTCCGATCCCAGCCCTTCCACTTCAAAGCCACGTGACTTTCAGCCAATTACTTCCCTGAGCTATCTCATTTACAAAATGAGTTTAATAATCTCCTAAATCATAAGGATATTTCGAGGATTAAATGAGATAATGAATACACAGTATTCAGCAGAAGGCTGGGCACCTAATAAGTGCTTAATGGTAACTATTATTACTAGTTCTACCTAGGCTAATAAGAAACGAGATAATCTAAGGAAGTAAAAGCCCTAAACTCCAAATATTCTCTTCCGACTTCACTTTGATATCCTTTCCACTAAATTTAGAGAGGGCAGCTCCTCCTCCTTCTCCTCCTCCCCCACTACTTTCCACAATTCTCCTCCTCATGAAGGTGCTAAAGAGCAATAAAATGCCCAAAAGGCAACAGAGAAGGAAGGAGAAGCTTTTGCTTAGGAAATTTACACCCTGGAAGGACAGCCCCTGAGCCAGATGTGTTTCTCAGTAGCACATCAACAAGAGCTTCTGCCTGAGGAGGCAACAGCAGACTCAGCATTTCTCCTAAACCAGTCCTGGTCCCATCCCACCCTCCACCACCTCTCTGGGTCTCCCAGGCCATGCTTCTTTAGCAAAGCCGTCCAACACGCCACGTGCCGAGCAGCCCCTCCTGCAGACCTTTGTAGCACACATACATTTCTCCATTATGAGCAGGAAGCATACTAGCATTAGAACTCCTCCACCAAGTTGATTCTTTGAAGGCTCAGATCACAGTTCTTTCATTTCCATACACTTAGCATCTAGAAAAGGACTCTCAACTTTCTTACCGTTCGATGAGTAAATTAGTCACTGAATGCAAGTTGATGCAAGGCTCAGTTATGCTCACAAAGTTCTGGTTTAAACTGGTGTCACAGCTCTTCCAAAGTGGGGAGCCAATACCTTGAAGTCTGATCCTCTCTCTTGTTGAGGCAGGGGGAGGGGAGGGGTGTGGGAAAGGGGAAAACTGGAGCAAAGATGACAGAACTTTTCTCCTGACATCAATTCAGAGAGGATGGAGATTACTGTACTGACTCTCCAAAGGGGGACAACAGACCCACATTCACACTAATAAGATTACCAACTGCAAAGCAACTTGCTACAACAGGGGGATTCCTTTTGAAGAAGTCATGCCAAAATTTGGTCATGAGGCTTTCCCATGTGAAGGGAGCAAAGGACAGTGGGGACTGTCCACGAGAATCTGGGGAGGGCTCCAACCGCACAAACAGCTGTGGGCCACAGAATGCTTGCTCAGCTCATTAGCACCTGCTGCTTACAGTGACCATTCATCTAACAGACTGGCGGTGAACGAGATGATGGGATCAGCGGGTTCATGCCCCAGAGAGCTTTGCTCATCATTAACGTGAGCTACGTCCTGTTCAGGAACCATTCCTCTTGTTGAAGAAACACTGCAGTGTAATATGATAAACATTTCCCCATCACGAGTGGAGATCTGCCTAGAAAGATCTGCACAAAGGTGGCTGCATTTTGCATGAGTCACATGCCGGGGAGGGGTAGGCAGTGCTAAAAAGTAGTCCCACTTGAGCCTTCAAGTCATCGTGGCATATCTGCCTGCTTCACTATAAATCTCCAAGGCCTCTGACGTCTGCCTTTCATGGGTTAAGTCCCTCCTTCTCAAGGGTGGAATCACCTGTTTATAAAACCAGCGATTACTACGCTACCTTGGAATGGGGCAGAGAGCAAGCATGAATTCGAACATCTACTTTGGAGGGAATTTACCCCACCCTCAAAGTCAAGTTCTGCTCCCCGCTGCTATCTAAAACCGTGCATCTCAGCCTCTGAAAAGCTGGGAACGGCAGCCAGAGGGAAGCAGGTCGCATCACTTTGGCCGACATGAGAGGGGAGCCTAGCCCTGGAAATTCCACACAAACTCAGAAAGAGAACAGTACGTCCCCCACCTCCCACACATACACCTCTTCTGTTCTCCTGAACAAGCACAAACAAGACAGAGCAGTTTAGTATGCTGCTTCTGAAAGAGTGAGTAATGGGCTTCTAGGAAAGAGGCTGGTGGTGGCTAAGGAGAGCTCAAGAGGTTGTAATGACAGAACCAAAGGAGGGAGGCAGCCATGTGCTTGCCTTGATCTGCGTTTAATGGGGCTATGGCCCTAAAAAGAAAACAGCCAACACCCTGATCCTATTCCCCCTATCCTTTCAAAAAGGCACAGGGGAAGCCCTCACCCATAGTCACCGACAGGCTGCTGCCGGTGTTACCTTAGGAACCCTTTTGGGAATCTAGTCTCTCTCCCTCTGTCCTTTGTCTGCAAAGTCCTCTCCTCTAGGAAAATTCCTGGGCCTCTCTCCTTCAGACTTCCTGGGCAAAACTGAAAGAACCCTGCTTCTCTTTCAAAGCTGCTCTTCTGGTCTCACACTCTAACCTTAACAACTGTAGAGAAGCTGACGGAACCTGTTCCCATAAAACAAACACAATCAATCCCTCCCAGTTACTGGTATAACTCGGTGTATTTTCATCCAAAGATCGCTTCTGGCGCCTGATCTGAAGAGGGAGGTAGTGTGGAGAGAACCTTGGACTTGCTATCCGAAGAGCTGCCACTTACTGGCTGTGAAAGCAGGTGCAGGTTACTTTGTTTCTCTGAATCTCAGATTCCTCAGTTTCTAAGATAAAGACGTCTTCTCCTTACCTAGAATGGTCTCACAGAGGACGAAGCGTCTGACACAAAGTGTGCGCACACATGCAGTGCCGTCTACACCGTGTCTGCCTCTTTTCCGCACAGGGCCCGAGCAGTACTTCTTTTTCTTCCCCCTTTAATGTTACTTCTCAGGCCTCTGAGTGAGTTTCCTTCCCTTCACATCGCCCCAGAACGCAGCCTTCCCCTTTTCCCTCGCCATCAGCCGCCAGCACATCCCCTCGAGCCAGTCGCCCTTGCGCTCCCTTCCCTTCCTCCAGCACCGTATCCCGGCCGGAGCTCTCTCTCTGAGTCCCTTCTGTTACTAAGGCTCCGCGCCCCCAACACAAGTGCTTTCTAAAAACTCCCGAAGGCCCTCTTTGGCAGCCGAAAGGAGACAAACTGCTCTCCAGTCTGTCTGTCCTGCTGTGTGCCATGATGCCTGCTGCCCTCTGACGAAACTATAGTTTTTATGGTGTTACATCATCTCTATAGAAACTGCGTTCTTTCTCCATTATTAGCCTGTTTCCTCATCTGTAAAGCTAAAAATACTTACCTCACAGGCTTGTTGTGAGGATTATTTTAGTCAGGTATGCAAAGGGCTCAACATAGGGCTTGGCTTGCTGTAAGTCCCCAACAAAAGGCAGCTATTATCTTTGCCTTTGTACTGAGTTGCACGTTCCCACCTTCTGCTGCCACACTAAATTGTCCCAACCCTCCCCAAACCGTGGAGAAGCAGCCCCCCTGCAGCAAGGAAAGCGTTAATCTCTAAGTGTTCTTAACTAGAGAGACCCATAGAGGATTAACAGCTCCACTCCAGTGACTACCCTAAAATAGCTTTTATCCCTCCTGCCCAAGAGCTACTTGGGGATCTGAAGAACTCAATTCAACACCTGCCCAGGAGGAAACGTACCCGGGAACACACCCTGGAACGTTCTTTAGGGTGGACAGACTCTTCCCTTAAGCAGAGCCCAAAATAGCAACTGGGAAATTATAAATAGACCAAGAAAAAAAAAACCCAGGTCTTGACCCCAGCACCAGAAACAAATCCAAAAGACACACCGACTGGCTGGAAAACAGTGAGAAAGGGGAAATGAGCATAGCTGCCCCCCTCACTCACTCTCTCACACACACTCCAGAGTGGTGGGAGAATTAAATTACAGGGAGGCTGGAGAGTCTCAATGACTTGCATCATTCCAAGAGACATCAAACAGGATTAGCAGGGGTTGGATTTACTCTCGGGCTGCTAGTTCTTCTGTCACTGTAGATGGGCCCTCTTCGGAGTCCCTTTGATTCACTATTTCCTCTGAATCCCGCTGCCTCCCACTCCTGCGGAGGCCTTGAGCAAATGGCTGCAGCTCACTACAGCCCCATTTTCATTAAGAGGAAACCTGGTTGGACACCCCCTAGTATTCCCACCCCCCCCCC